ATACATGATCTTTCCTCTCTGCCTCTGCCTCCACCCAGATAACAAGAATGACCCCTTCAATGACTATGTGGGTCGTGAAAACTGGAAGAATCTTTCAGTAGTTTCTGTCTGCCAACCAGGAAATTTTTTTTTTTTTTTTTTTTTTTTTTTTTGAGACGGAGTCTAGCTCTGTTGCCCAGGCTGGAGTGCAGTGGCCGGATCTCAGCTCACTGCAAGCTCCGCCTCCCGGGTTTACGCCATTCTCCTGCCTCAGCCTCCCGAGTAGCTGGGACTACAGGCGCCCGCCACCTCGCCCGGCTAATTTTTTTTGTATTTTAGTAGAGACGGGGTTTCACCGTGTTAGCCAGGATGGTCTCGATCTCCTGAACTCGTGATCCGCCCGTCTCGGCCTCCCAAAGTGCTGGGATTACAGGCTTGAGCCACCGCGCCCGGCCCAACCAGGAAAATTTTTGATGATTAAGCGCCCCTCTGCCTCCTGAAACAGAAAGGGAATACCATAAGGTGACAAAGCACAAATGAATATTTAAATTAAATGTGCTGCCGCTTTGTGGTTGAGTTGAAGGTGATCAAATCCAACAGGCTGCATGGTGGCCTCACTAAGATGTTGTTCTGACATTCTCCTCTATCGCTTTCTCGGCTGAGGCTGTCTGATCTGGGAGGAGAAACAGAGCAGACAGAGCCTAGACTTTTGTGAGACTAAGAGATTCCACTCTGTAGTCTTTTTGTAGTTTCCTGGACCTCTCTTGAATCCCAAGATTCCTTAGACTCCCTGTTATTCCTTGCAGTTCTCTTCTTGGCTGTAGTCTCCTATGACGCATCTGTCCTCTTTGCAGACACAGCCAAAAGAAAGGCATATGTAGTCCCTTACCCTCAGGGCTGTTTTTGATGGGTATCCTCTCCCAGCTGGGTGGTGCTTTCTTGTTTCCTTCCAGATCTGGTTTTCTCTTCCAGGAAACAGTCTTTTTGCTTGTTCCTGGGCGTGGTTTATTTCATGCTGAATCCTTAATTGGCAAAATCTGAGGATACCACTCTCATTGACTTTACCGCAATTCATGCTCTCTGGAGTGCTGAGATGTGGCTACTCTGGCTTCCCTGGCCTCGGCAACTGGCTCTTCCTTGTTGACTGGGCTCTAGGTAAAATTCTGGACCTTCGCGCCATCCTGGTGACAAATTACTTTCCAGGAGCTCAGGAGATATGGAAATGTGGTGTTCATCCCCACTAGAGTTTACGGACAGAGTCACTCTCACTGAGTGACTTATCGATGGCCAACAGAGAGAGGCATTTTCCTGGGGAAGCTGAGTGGAATAGAGGAGTCTATTAAAAGGATGCTCGGCTAGAGACCAGGCTTGTGACTCTACCCAGGAACAAAAAAACCATCCTTGCTGTCTGTCTTGCATCTCTTTTCTTTCTGATTCATTCTTTTTTTTCTATCTGGAGATTAATGCCTGTTTTTTTTAATCTTCCCAAGGAGGTGGAAGATGATCTACTGGGGAAAAGGGACTCTCTCTGACCCAATTCTTAGGGGAGACTTTCCGAGTTGCTGAAGTTTGGTCAATGCCAATCCTATGTATGGACTGGGCTGTCTGAAGACTACTCCCGCACATGTAGGGCCATTTGAGAAAGTGAAAATTTGTGAACGGGGTCAACTCTCATTAAATTGTTTTTCTTAGAGTGTGCCAGTGTTTAAAAGAGAACACAGGACTTCCATTTTTCACTTCAGTGCAAAAGGAGCTTTGAAGCTGTCACTGTATCCTAATAACAATTCAAAAAACTGACAAACTGAAAAATCAACAGTTCTTCTTAGAGCTATCAGAAAAGCGAGGACACAGGGTAAGCTGCTGTCCCCAAAATTGGAGAGACAGACACGTGGATACAATGAATCTGCTCTAAACAGCAGAAACTCTAGAGCAGAAACTTCCATGGGCACCAGTGCCAACGTGGGAAAAGCTGAACTGTAACTGACAAATTGCCAGAGGTTGAGTGTGGAAAAGATGGAGTTAAAAATTCCAGGAAGACCCAGGTATAGAAGGGCTCTTACACTTCTATGAGGTATAACTACGGGCACTCTCCCAGATTCTCAAAGCAAAGATGAGAGAAAAATTCCCTTATGCCTCTCTCAGGGGGAGGAGAAAAGCAACTACTTTGAAATATGCCAGAGCATCCGTCTTATTACAAGGCCCACCCTCAGGAGAAACTATTTTATCAGAGCCTAAATGCTGGGTTTTTATCAAAACCTAACCTACCCAGGGGGAGGGGAAATACCTAACTCCAGTTACCTGTAACCATCCCGTCCTACCTAAGGGATTGGGGGCAACTGAGAAGCTCCTATGAAGTTCACAGTCCACTTTAGGAAACTAGCAAAAGAAGAACAAATTAAATCCAAAGTAAGCAGAAGATAAGAAATAACAAAATTACAGTAGAAATCAATAAAATTGGAAACAAAATCAGTAGAGAAAATCGACAAAATTATAAGCTGGTTCTTTGAAAAGATCAATAAAATTGATAAGCCTCTGTAGCTAGGCTAAGAAAAAAACAAACTACTGGATTAAACAGTGGGCCAAAGACCTTAACAGATACTTTACCGAAGAAGATATACAGATGTCAATTAAGCATATGAAAAGACGCTCCACAAGATGCCATCAGGGAAATGCAGATTAAAGAACAATGAGATATCACTACATACATTAGAATGGCCAAATTCCACAGCTCTGACAACATCGAATGCTAGTGAGGATGAGGAACAACAGGGACTCTCATTCATGATTGCTGACAATGCAAAATGGTACAGCCACTTTGGAAGACAGTTTGGCCATTCCTTTAAAAACTAAACATACCCTTACCAGCAGTTGTGCTCTTTGACGTTCATCCAAAGGAGATGAAAACTTACGTCCACACAAAAACCTGCAGCTTCATTCATAATTGCCAACACTTGGAAGCAACCAAGATGTCCTTCAATAGGTGAATGGATAAATGAACCGTGGGACATTCGTACAGTGGGATATTATTTAGCACTAAAAATAAATGAGCTATCAACCTATGAAAAGATATGCAGGAAACTTAAACGCATATTGCTAAGTGAAAGAAGCCAATTCAAAAGCCTTTATATGTATGATTCCAAGTATGTGACATTCTGGAAAAGGATAAACTATGGAGATGGTGAAAAGATCAGTTAATGCTAGGGATTTGGGGGAGAGAGAGATGAACAGGTAGAGCACAGAGGATTTTCAGGGCAATGAAACTATTCTATCTGATATTATAATGGTAGATATGTGTCATTATACACCTATCAAAACCCATATTAAACACCAAGAGTGAATCTTAATATAAACTATGGACTTTGGGTGATGATGTGTCAATACCATTTCAACAGTAGTAACAAATGTACCATCCTGGTAGGGAATGTTGGTAGTTGGGGAGTCTGTGCATGTGTGGGGACAGAGGGTATATAGGAACTCTCTGTATGTTCTGCTTCACTTTACTGTGAACCTAAAACTGTTCCAAAAATAAAGTGTATTAATATGAGAAACCATAAATAAAGGAAAATGAAATACACACACACATAGAGGGTGAACACACCCACTTGTGTGACGTCCTCTTAGTTTCTTTAGTATGCCCTCTACAGAGATTACCTGGCATGCTTTCAGTCTGCCACTCACAGCCTTTACAACCTGGAGAATATGGTAGTAAGGTGCTAACAACTACATAGCCATATCACCCTCCCATCAATTATTTAGTCAACAGGTATTTGTTGAGCATCTAATATGTGCCAGCAGTGCCTGGAGGCTGTGGGGTGGAAAAGGAGTCAGCACTCTTTACAGTCCCTTGCCCACAAGGATGCAATCATCTATAATATGGTTTGGATGTTCTTTACAATCTCATGTTGAAATATGATTCCCAATGTAGTAGGTGGGGTCAGGTGGGAAGTGATGGCATCATGGGGGCAAATCCCTCATGAACGGTTTAATACCATCCTCCTGGTGATAAGTGAGTTATTGCTTAGTTAGTTAATGCACAATCTGGTTGTTTAAAAGAGTCTGAGGGGACCTGCCTCTTCTCTCTCTCTTGCTCCCGCTCTTGCCATGTGATGCGCCTGCTCCCTTTTCCCTTCTGCCACAAATGGAAGCTTCCTGAGGCCCTCATCAGAATCAGATGCTGGCATCACTCTTCCTGTACGTCCTGCAGAACTGTGAGCCAGTTAAACCTCTTCTCTTTATAAATGACCCAGCCATTAGGCATTCCTCTGTAGGAACACAAACAGACTGACACAATCCACTTGGGAAAGAGAATGTCACCCTGCAGCTAGTGGTGAATATGATGATATTACATATTGCTACGGTTGACTGGGGACCAGGATAATAGTTGGTGAGCTAATTATTTGGCACAGGTGATAAGAGTATGAAGATTCAGTGCAGGAGGAAAGACTCATTTGAGCTGGAAAACCCTGAGAAAATTGGCAAGAGCGGGAACAGCTTCACGTAGGCTCCCACAGCTGGTCAGCTCTGCTGACACCATCTTGAAATTCTTACTAGTTTTGGAACAAAGATCCTCATATTTTTATTTTGCACTGGACTCCCCAGATTAAGACCCCTCCTCTCCAGGAAGGAAACGCTTGTATGGGTCATGTCTGATTTAGAAATCATAATTGCTACCACTTACTGTGCATTTGCAAGTACCAGGAAGGATCTTAGGTGCTAAGACCTTATCTCCTCTAACCCACACAAAGGAGAGGAAAACCGAGTTTCAGACAGGTCACCTGAACTCACCCAGTTGGTGGGGCAGGCAAGATTCAAACCCAAGCTCTTTTCTTTTATTTCTGATTCATTCTTTCCAGATTTTTATATCAGTTATTTACATTCATGGTTCATACTTTGAAATGATTCTTAATTAATTAATTAACTTTTTGAGGCAGGGTCTCACTCTGTGGCCCAGGCTAGAGTACAGTGGTGCAATCTCATGGCTCATTGCAGCCTCAACCTCCTCGGCTCAAGCAATCTTCCTGCCTCAGCTCCCCAAGTAGCTAGGACTACGGGCGTGCGCCATCACACCCAGCTGATTTTTACTTTTTGTGTGTGGAGACTGTGGTCTCACTACGTTTCTCAGGCTGGCCTCGAACTCCTGGCCTCAAGCGATCCTCTCACCTCAGTTTCCCTAAGGGCTGGGATTACAGTTGTGAGTGATCATGCCCAGCCTTGAAATGATTGTAAGATGTTTGAGAGGAATAAACCAGCTCGCCCCTGTGAATGGTTTAGTTCAGCGGTTCCTAAACATTTTCAGTTCACAGCACCCTAATGTCTTAGTAATCTTATTCACAGGGCCCTGAGGCCACAAGAAATACCTCATAATTCTGTTTATGACCTTGTTGGGTCCAACTACCTTAATAAGTATTTATGTCCTAACAACTTAGTAGCTGGGTAAAAAATAGTATGTACAAATTGAAAGAAAATAAATCATATTTTATTGTATTATTAAATAACCACAATACTTACTAATGGTATGTAGGTGCATCAGTTGGGCACTAGCAATATATAAAACCTTGGAATCAGATAGGACATATCACTTTTTCCCCCACAGCTATCACAGCAGTCACCAAAAACCAAGCTTTGCAAAGATATGACGTCATGGAAGGAAATTTAGCAACCTAATGTTAAAACCGATTTACCTGGCGCTAGCAGTTCCTGAGGTGTTTGACAGGCATCATTGTGTTTTCCTCAAGTACTTAAAAATATCCAGGCACTTCTGCGAGTCCCTTGAGGTGCCTGCCTCTCTGTCTGTTTATGCAGAGCAGTGTCCCTTTGCTGGTGGACAGGTTCAGGCAGTGCTTTTTCCTCTGCGTGATGATATTAGATATGCAGAAAGTCATGGATAGGAAGAGCCAAGGAAAAAAGGGGGAATAAAAATAGAATGAACAAAAAAAGGAGCTCAAGAAATGTATTTTTAATGCAGTACCCCAAAAATAAGCTCATATTTTACTATGTATTTGACAGCAGAATACAATTACAACTGACATCAATTATGTTCTCTATTAGACTTTTCTCTACCTTATACATTTAAGTGTAATCCCAAATGGGGAGAGAACCACTGCTTTTTAATATAGGTGCTTTCTCAATTTGAAAACTAGAATGGAAGTCATGTTCAGAAGTGTAAAGAATTCTAAGAATGAGGTGGGGGTTAAACGATTGTTAGCAACCAAGAGGTTCCATTATTTTTTCCTTCAAGCATGTTGGTATGTGGAAAACGGAAAGCGTATTAAACCACTCACTTCAGTTAGTTAAACCCAACATATTAGATCAATTATTAATCCTCTTTCATCTTTCTAATATCAAGACACAAAGCAATTGTTAGTTATAATTTGTAATCAGTAGCATGTCGTTAGTGGGCTGTTAATTGATTGTATCTACCAGTGCTTGCGTAGATGGGTTCTGTTGTTGTTGTTTGAGTTTCATGTTAATTCAATAGGAGTGGTAACTTGGTTTTTGGTGAGGACGGAAAGATTTTACATCTCATTTCACTGATTCTGTTTTCTTCTGAACATTGGACTTCTATGTGCTTATTTAAAAAACTATGTGGCTACTGCCATCTGTTGGATGGAATGTGAGTCCTGCTCAGACACGTGGCCCTTTAAACGCCCAGTGTCTGTCCCTTCTAACTTCACCACGTGTCTCCTCAAGGTAAGGTTCTGCCTTTGATCTACCTGCATGCATCCCAGCTTCCAGCCCCAGAACTGAGTTCATTTTGGGAACGTTTTCTGTGGTGGTGGGGCACTTTCTCTTCAGACATGTAAATGCTTTTTACTGAAGAGTGTGAGGTTGTTTAGCTTTCCAGTAAGACTTACAGCGTGAGGAGGCATGTCGAGGTGGGGACGGATGTGGCTGGGAGCATGTGTAGGAACAAGTATATTTTTAGCATGGGGTATAGAATCTACATTGGACTAATAGGCAGAGGAATCAAAGTTCAGCTGTAAATTGTGGTGCATATTGAGGCCAGTGATTTTATGTCTCTGAGCTGGCATTTCCTCAGCTGTAAGACAAGAGGACAGGACTAGGACTGAGAAAATCTTATGAGCTCAAGACCCACGCGGCTCCGTCTCTCTAAGGAGTCATATTCAAAGAACAGCAGACCTAACAGCAAATACGAATTTAAGAAGAAATGCCAGTCTGATTTAACTGAAAAGCACAGAGAAGAACCAATCTACAGATCACGGGAAACCCATTTGACCTGACTCCCTTTTCCCCCACTGCTTGGTTCTTATTTTTCTACTTTTCTCGGGCTGTGATTGTCAGCATCCTCCCTCTTCACCCCTCCTACTCTTTCTCTGCGGAGGGACTGCTTTCTCTCTCCACTCCTGTTCAGCTTTTTTCTTAGTCCTCCCCTCCTCCTCTAGCCCTCAGTCTCAGCTTTCTCTGTCCTTTGGCTGATTCTGCATCACAAAATTCCAAGAACCAGTCTTGGAGAAACTACCTGTTCTCTGAGATGGGAAACAGGTGAAGAAGCCGAACCAGGCAGAACACACTTCGTATTGGTCCAGGAGAAACACACACACACCCACCCACCCACACACACACACACACACACACACACACACAGACACAGAGCCAAGCCCTTCTGACAGCAAGAGCCTTCAACACTGTGACTGATATGACTACAATGCCTATAGCTGAATTCACTGGTTAGGGGGTGCACGATGGAATTTTGTCCCTTGAATTGGGGATGTTTAAAGATCCAGGCTATTTCACTCCTTCTTCTTCCCTTGCTAAAGAATGACCGGGGTCATTATTGAACTCAGTTCTCATTTGCCTTCTTAAAATTTGATGTCTGCAAAACCTGGAGTTTATTTACTTCTCCCTTTCCTCCTTTCTTCATTTAGTCCATCATGCCATTTGTTAATACCAGATTAGAGAAGGGGAGCATGTCAAGGAATTCCTTTATGATTTCTTCTCTGAGGATGAAGTCTTGGTTGAGTCTTCAGTGGACATGGTCAGGATGGATCCTGGGAGCGGGTGTGTATGTTCTGCGGTGTGTATGTTCTCCAGGGCAGTTATCCTGCTGGGGCTGGGCCAGCCCTCCTGCCCCAGCAGCCCCCATCTCTCTCTGCCCCACCCTGTCTCCTAGGTGAGGGGTGCCGGGATTGCTGTGTGGGGAGGGAATACGGCCAGCCTGCCTGGGCTCAAACCTTCAAGGAAATGAAAAATAATTTCTCCTTACAAGAGGTTAGAGGAACCTCCCCAGGCTCATCTGCTGCTAGTTCTGTCAGTAGAGAGGCAGTTGAGAAGGCCCCAGGAGGCTGGGAGGAAAGGAAGTGTGCCCAGGCCCACCAAGGGGGAGGTCTACAGGAGAAAGGCCCTCTTTGTCATTGCTGCAGGGTAACAGCGAGTTTTGCAGTTGGTGATAATGATTCATTTCCTCAGTTGAGGTTTGGGAGGATTATAGCTGGAATTTGAAAAGTCGTTTCTATATCTGGCAACGAAGGAACTCTGAGTGATCACCATGTACTGTTTGGTGTTTTGCCATCATTGGTAATATCACTGTGGTAGGCAGCTTGGGCTGCTGTAACAGAACACTGTAGACTGGGGGGCTCACAAACAGCAGACATCCACTTCCCACAGTTCTGGAGGCTGGAAGGCCACGCCTGGGGGCCAGCTGGCTTGGGTTCCGGTGAGGACCGTCTCTGGCTGCAGGTGGTTGCCTTCTCATTGCATCCTCACGAGGCAGAAAGACAGTCAGAGAGCTGAGTCTCTGTCACAGGAGCACTCATCCCACTCATGAGATCTGTACCCTGATGACTTAATCACCTCCCCAAAGGCCCACCTTCTAAAACCATCACGTGGCGGATTAGGATTTGAACACATGAATTTCGTGGGAATGCAAACATTCAGTCAATAGCCATCACCAACAACACTGAAATGTAAATTGGAGGTGTCATATGAAAAAAGAAATGATCTAAATGAAGTTCCATGCTGTCATAATGGAGTTCTGCAGCCACCAATGTATGTCCTCTGGTTGAGTGTACAGGCGGTGTATGTATATGTGTAAGTGTATATATATCTTGTGATTGTTCTGAGCATTCACGATTTAAAGTACCTAATCAGCAATGAGCAGTGTTCACACTCCCGGCTGAGTAGAGCTAGCGTGTGTCTCTAAACACTGGCTGGTTGTGGAGGCAGAATGTTATCAGGATGCCCTGATAGATCAACAATGTCCTCTCCTGCTTTGCTTCAGGAAGGGGTGAACATTTGTTTACGGGTCTGACAGCATAAAAAGTGAACCTGCCGAGAATGGAGTCCAAGCACTCAAAGTCACTTTGCCTTCACTGGTGCTGAAGGATCCCCGTGGCTCATGGTCCACAGGCCAGAGAACTTATTGCTAGTGCAAATGCTGACCCAGTTCCTTCCACTGCGATGGACAGCTCCAGTTCCTAACTCAGCCCAGAGGAGCACAGCTCTTTTGTTTCTAGTATCTTCTAGTATAGAGGAGCTGTTGTTGAGGATAGGTCTGTGGAGGTGATACCTCCCTTAGCTTCTGCACAGTAAGTGGATGCTGAGGCAGTCTTGAACACCAGAGCATAAGGCACTGGGATGTGTTCCCAGGGCTGTGCTGCCCTTGAGTGCCTTCCTGGTCTGTAAAGTTGCATGGTGGGTAGGAAGAGACGGAGGTCTGGCGCCTGGCAGCACACCATGACTGGGTGGACCTGACTCTCCTGGCACCTTGGGGGTGCAGAGCCACCACTTCATTCTCACGGAGCTACACTATTATGGGGTATCTTTGAAGGACATAGGAGACAATCTGAAGCATTCAGGAACCCCAATGCCTTGAAAACACTATCATGGGATGAATTATAATGTAACATACTAATAATATTTAAAAGGCAAAAGGAGGTAAGGTTTTAAGAGATTCACTATGAACTTTTGACTTCAAGTCTATGGAATCCTGTTTTAGCTCATATCTCATTGTAGATTTTTTAAAAACTGCAGTTCATTATGGTTTTTTCTATTAAAATTGCCTATAAGTTGACTGTGAGTTTATCAGAAGTCCATCTTTTCCCATTTTGACAAGGTCTAGTGACAACTGGTAAGAACTTAGAAGTATAGTCAGCACCAGCTACTTTCAACTAACTACAGGTGGGATAACTCTGCATTGCTGTTGGTTGATACAGAAGCTGAGACATGAGTGATATTCACTGCATAACTGGCAATGCTGGCACTAATGGGACCCTTCCCACAGGTCATGCCCTCTGTTGAGTGCACTGTGTAGAGGATCACATTTATTCCCCAGTGCAACTCATGGGACAGGGATTATCATCCTTATATTTAGGGAGGAAATTGAGACTCAAGAGAGGCTCAGGTAGCAGAACCAGGCTTGGATCCAGAGACTCTGACCCCAAAGCCGTGACTTATGGTGGGGAGCTCTGCTTCTTCCCAGAGGTTCTAGTGAGCAGCCTGGGGTGTGATTTCCTCCTATGGCGACTGAGAGCTCCTACTTTATGGCATCAAATCAGGGAGGGACTCCAGCTTGATCTGGCAGCTGCAGCTGTAGACACTGTCCCTGCCCTTGTGAAACATAAAGACTTGTTAGTCTAATGGTAGAGATACGACATCAGTGTAACGTAATAGATACTAATCAGTTGCTGTTATTCCAAACACAACATTGCTTTATTATACTCTACGTAGTCGCTTTTTCTGTATGTCTATAAATCAAATACATTTTCCTGCATCCTGAGAGGTAACAGCCTAGATAAATACTTCATTTATTTAAAATCTGTCCACCTGTTCATCCGTCCAACACATATTTGGTGATTTTGATTAAATTCCAGGTGCCTTTGCTAAGAATGGAAGGACATACAAAGATGTGAAAATCCAGGCACAGCCTCTTCCTGCAAGGTGTCTCAGTCTAGCAGGGGCAGACCCTCTGTGTAAAGAACTCTGACGTAAGTGCGGTGGAAGCGTAAGGGTTTAGCAGAGAATGTGCTCTCACTGCGGGGCGGTCACAGAAGTATTGATGAGTGAGCAGGACTTGGAAAGGGCAGATGGGTTGGTAGAAAGGACACTGCAGATGAGCAAAGGGACACTCCTGGGGAGTCTTGAGTGTGGGGGGGGACTTAGGGATGTTCATGGAGGGGAAGAGCTGGGCAAGGCTGAAGAGTAGGGCAGGGCAGGGCATGGAGGGCTCGGCCCCTGGCTTGGCGGCTGGGACTGAATTCAATAGGCAGTGGGGTCATTGAAGCTTTGAGAGCTGGGGAAAGCTATGACATGGGTTTGGTGGGAAACGCATGTTACTTAAAGTCAGGCAGATCCTGGTTGGAGTCCTGGCTCCAACTTTTCAGCTGTGTCTGCTTGGTCTGTTGCTCTCAGCCTGAGTTCCCACGTCAGTCACCTGAAGGAAACGGGCCTGCTTTGCGGTCTCGTTTAGAGGTCTTGTTCAATCGTGTGTGTAGAGTGTGCCCATGGGGCCTGGCCAGGGAGTTCTCCGAGGCACCTGAGGCTGAACCAGGGGTGGCCGTAGAAATGATATGAAAAGAGGGACAGGTCTCAGAGACAAGGAAGAATGACTAGAACTAGGAACCTGACAGGAGGTGTCCTTGTCCGGTGAGGGGGCTGCAGAGTGAGATGTGACCATTCTGGGCTGCCTTCCCCGCAGTTCCCGGCCCAGGCATGTAGTCACTGTGGGGTCCTGAGCCCGGGACAGCCCTTCTTTGGAGTCAGGCTTTTCTTTGGGCTATTCCTTTCAGGCGACAGCAGAACCTAGTAGTCTCTGCTTTCATACAAGGTTCTGACATCTGATGCCAGATTTACAACCTGAGGTGGCCAAAGACTTTTGGTTTTTCCTGAGGCTTAAATCAATGGTGTTGCTTGGCTTTCTCCCATGCAGCCAGGTTGGCCAACAAAACCACCCGCTGTTCTGCTTTGAATGCAAGACATGCTGCTGCGTGGCTCTTGATATTTACCTTATCCCGGAGCTGAGCTTCGTCTCTGTGGCGTGCAGGTGGAGCGGGCCCGGGAAAGACAGTCCTCTGGCACGCTTTCCACGTTTGGATGGCAGCCCCAGCTTCAGCTTCAAACACTTTTATCCCTGATGGCATTGTTTACAAACATGCTGGAAAAACAGAATTAGGGAACAAAATTATCTCCTGATTGCTGAACTGTGATGAGATTGATGCTTTTAAGCACTTCCCCTAGGGAAGCCAGGCAGGAATCTTCCAAGGGGAAAATGTATCATAAGAGAAGACTATTAAAAGTTAAAACTGGGCTAATGAAACCGATACAGGGAGAATCGTTTTAATTATCGATGCACTGTCTTAATTAAATTGCATGATTTCCCAGAATAACACATCCATCATCATCGAGTATGCAGACATGACCTGATTCTGGGGTCTCACAAGGGGCCTTTGGGTGTCTCTGAGAGGACGGTGATGAAAGACTCAATGAAGTTCGTGCTTCTGAACCCTGAATCCACTTCAAGGTGCCGTGTCAGTGCTGTGCGTGTTCACCAGCAGATGTCACTGTTTACATATAAAATGCAAACAGCCCCCAAAGTTGGTTTTTTTTTTTTTTTTTTTTTTTTTTACCCACCTTTATTCTAAAGCAAGACAAGCTTGTCCATGTTTTTTTCATAAAGCCTTATTCATCATGTGGTCATTTTTGTTCTGGGAAATAATGATATTGTTTATCTCTTTAAATAGCTGTACATGTAAAGGGAACTGGTTTATGAGAGACACTCATTTCACATACTAAGCTATCCAATCACATCTCACTTAAAAGATAATTGTTGAATACTTACAATTTGGCCGAAACCAGCTTCCCATGACAAAAGGTGTCCAAAAACAGCTAAAGAGCTGTGCTTCTTTAGGGGTCTTAAAACCTCTTTTGAGAGATGACGAATAATAAAGCAGCTTAGAATGTTGGAAGTTAAGTTCTAAAACTAAAAATGAGTGTCATACTGTTTCAGGGAGGTAAAGGCCTGTGGGGGCTGGAGCAGATGGAAGGCTTTAGAGAAGGAAGCCCCGAGATAACGAGGGTGAATTTGTCTGGTTGGGAGCGGAAAGGTACTGTGGGTTTTTGGGGTTTTTTTGTTTTGCTTTTTATGTTTTGGGGTTCTTTTGCTGAGAGAATAAAGGGCAATTATGTTTGGAGGATCTATTTGATGGACTCATGAAAAGCAAAATGGAGGGGGCTGATGTTATTACAAAATCCAGCTGTGAGAACAGGAACTCCTGCACTGGTAACTAGAAATAAATTCAGATTGGGAGGCATAAGGAAGACAAGACCGCCGTGCCAGCTTATTGACAGGTATAGTCACTATGTCTTTTTGTCTTCTCAGTCCAAAATCAAGATACAAGCATTGACACATGGTCAGACACTAAAACAGAAGGTTTGAAAGCAGGGCTGTTTGCAGAAACTCCAGGACATATGGATGCTGCATATATGCAGAGGAGAGAGTGACTTGAATCTCATGAACCTGTGGGGTAACAATGGTGCTGCCACTGAGGGAAATGGAAAACCTGGGCAGGAAGGTTGGCTTGCACAGAAAGATGTTTCTAGTCTGATCCATGTTGTTGAAGCTGATTGTGGGCCACGGCATGATTGGCAAGGCTGGAAGCTATTCAGGAGCCACTGACCTAGAAGTGGAAACGACGATAGGGAGGCGAGAGAGAAGGGCCAGGGTGTAGCCATCACGGTTTGTGTCTTAAGAAGCCAGCTCATTTTATTAAATTGCATACATCAGTCAGTAACATCCAGGAAAGAAGAGAACTGGAAACCTCCGCCTGGTGTGGTGTACTCTTAAGCATGCAAGTTTCCGCTGACTCTGCACCCTCTCTGCCTTCACATCGTGGGAATTCATGACCGGACCCTTCAGCCTGCACGCCTCCACCTATCCTAGGGTTTCATCATCGTTACTCGGGACTCTCAAACATCTGTCCATCAATCAATGAGCTGCCCATCATACTTGCTCACCCCTTCCAGTCTCTGGGAAAGCAACCTGTTATCCAACGTGGAAGGTCTTGTTCTTGATAAGGTTCACTTTTCGAATTCTATGAGGGAGGGAGGGAAACGTGGCTGGAAGTTCAAAGCAGCCACAGCCATTTCCAAAACACATTCTCCTTCATTTTCCACTGACTCACTGTCGGATCTTGACAAACTCCTAACTAGAGCTGTGCCTTAGTTTGCTCAACTGTAGAATGGAAAAAAATGACCCATTCTACATTCAGATTGTGTGTCTGTCTGATGCATGTCAAGCCCAGTGGGGGCACACCCTTAGTAATGAGACATGTTAGCACCAATTATGTGCTTTTCACATTGGGCAGGTGTCAGGAGAGGCCTGGGGTCATAGGACCAGACTGCAAACAACACAATCCCAGAATAAATCCTACTAATTTGGCATAATTGATGAAAATGAAGATCAGATATTCGACCAGAGATGAGAAATTCATGAGCATGAATGCTGCAGCTCTGATTACTTTGCATATGAATGTGTGGTAAGAGGCAACATTTCTTTTGTTTAAAACCCTGTGCACTTAATTCACATTCAGAGAAAGGTTGTGGAATCATTCAGGCTCGTTGCAAACAAGGAACCAGGATGCCAACAAGGCCAATGTTGTTGTGAGAATGTTGAGCTATTAATCATAAAATAGCAAAACAGGGTGATTTTATTTATAGCAAACTGTCGCTACGCAGATAATAAAGACCCCTTTCAGAGCTTGCATTTATATATATATATATTTCTTTTTTTTTCCCCACAGAAAAGTGCAGGCTTGTGCAATGATTTTTCAGATGAAATGAAAGCAGGATGAGGATGTGAGCCCTGAGTACTTGTGACTTTTAGACCAAAGTCCTTGGCATCAGCCAGCACTGCAGGATGGAGCAGGTGAGGTTCAGCAACCCTGTGAAGGGAGGCTAGGGTATTACTGGCGCCCTTTAAAAGCAGACTGAGTGCATAAACTCTCACTAGACTGCAAGCGAGTGAGCAGCCCCGGGAAAGCCCAGATGAGCTATTGTGCCTTCCTTGGCTTCCCCACCTTCTGTTGTGCTAGGAAGGGCTGGGGAGCCTGTCTGTGGCAGTCGGACATCCCTTCCCTGGCCCCTCTAGAGATGGATGCTACCTCCTTTTAGGAAGTGTGTGGGAGGGGACCGATTTGCAAAGGTTCGCTCGTGCTCAGTCCCTGCTAGGATGATCAAGCTCTTTTCAAAACTCAGGGGTTGGGCTTTTGCGGTTTCTGCATAGAACAGGCACTTAAATATCTGTGGAATTTATGAACGACTTCATGCATGCATTTGGTCCTGTATTCTGGTCCAAACAGAAGATACGGTAGGTAGACAAATACCACCAGCTACGGTAGGTAGACAAATACCACCTCCTATGGTAGGGAGACAAATACCACCTCCCCCCACAAAGACGTTTCTGTCCCAATCCCTGGAACCTGTGCATGCTAGTTGATTTGGAAAAAGGGTCTTCACAGATGTGATTAAGTCAAGGGTCTTGAGATGGGAAGATCATGCTGCATTATCTGGTAGACCCTAAAGACAATCGCATGTATCCCTGTAAGAAAGAAACAGATATTTAACTACCTACAGAAGAGGAGAAGGTGATGTAAAGGTAGAGGCAGAGTGCTACAGACGGAATGTTTGTGCCCCCCTGCCCCCCCCAACACACACAAGTTCATATATTGAAACCTAACCCTAATGTGATGGTTTTAGGAGGTGGGCTTTTGGGAAGTGGGAAGTGATTAGGTTATGAGGGCAGGGTCCTCATGAATGGGACGAGTGCCTTTTTCAAGAGGCCCCAGAGAGCTCCCTTGCCCTTCCACCGTGTGAGGATGACCATCTACGAACCAGGAAACAGGCCCTCACCAGAGACTGAATCTACTGGCATTTTTGATCTAACATTTCCCAGCCTCCAGAACTGTGAGAAATAAATTTCTGTTGTTTATTAGCTACTCAGTCTGTGGTATTTTCTTATAGCAGCCCAAACGCACTAAGACACAGATTTGCAAAGGTTCAGCCTTTGCAAATCGTGGTGCAGCCAAGAGCCACAATTGCCAAAGCTGCCAGCCACTGGAAGAGCTAAGGCCTGGATTCTCCCCTCTGGAGGGAGTATGGCCTGTGGACACCTTGGTTTCAACCCAGCGAAGTTGATTGTATACTTCTGGCCTCCAGAACTTTGAAGAATAGATTTTGGTGTTGTAAGGCACCAATGTGTGGTAGTTTGTAGAGCAACCACAGGAAACAAATACAGAAAAAACCATCTCCTCTTGAACCAAACTCCAAATAACCAAATTCCACTTTGAACTAACCAAATTCAAATTTCACAATAAGGAGCAGGAGACATTTTTGTCCCACACAGGTATTACTGGGGCGATGTTATGAAGGTGGTGGGAATTTTTTTAAATAGTTTTAAAAATTATGAAAGTAGGAGACCATCCTGGCTAACACGGTGAAACCCTGTCTCTACTAAAAAATACAAAAAACTAGCCAGGCGTGGTGGCGGCGCCTGTAGTCCCAGCTACTCGGGAGCCTGAGGCAGGAGAATGGCGTGAACCCGGGAGGCGGAGCTTACAGTGAGCCGAGATCGCGCCACTGCACTCCAGCCTGGGCGACAGAGCGAGACTCTGTCTCAAAAAAAAAAAAAAAAAAAAATTATGAAGGTAAAACCCAGTCACGGCAGAACAAAGAAGCCAAAGAGTATATGGCAAAGTCTAAAATTCAGTGTGCCCTCCACTCCTGATTCCCAAAGGTCAGTCCTCTGTTTCTGTGTACTCTTCTTTCAATTATGATGAATACAAATATACTTATAGCTCCTTATTTTTATACAAACTGAATCATTTATTCACACCACACAGTTCATGTTTTGTTCACTTAAAAGTGTATTTTGGGAGATCTTTCTATATTTGTATATAGGTAATTCCTCATTATTTTTCAACAATTGTATGGACATATCATAATTTAATCAGTCTAAACTGATTGCTTATCAAGGAAAATGAGATATAATTTTCCTTTGACAAGGACACTATGCCTTTAAACTGCACTTATAAGATGATAAAATACTTTTATTTCCCTAAGTCACGGCAAACTACTGTCATTGCTCTTAAAAGGCAGCATGATTCATGAGGAGGTTTGGGTTCTGCCCAGGAACGCTAAGATAGTGGGAGAAGTCTGGGATCTTCTCAGTGGTAATATTCATCTGTGTCAAATGCAAACTATTGGGCACAGCCCAGGACCAGAGAAGGCTCTGAAACATGCTGGCTGAACGAAGAAATCAAACAACACACTGCTATTGTGTTTATCTGGGCCCTTACTCGAGGTCTCAGTGCTAGTAAGTGGCTGATCCAGGACGTTGACCCTGGCCAGCTGACACCCAAGACCGTCCACTCTTAGCTAATCAAGGCAAATACTTTGGCTATCCATGGCTGCATTGCAAGCTACTCCCAAACTCAGCAGCTTAATACAACAGCAATCATTTATTTGCTCATGATTCTGCCATTTGGGCAGTGCTTGGTGAAAACCATTCATCTTCACTCCAGCTAGTATCTGCCTGCACTGGAATGTCCAAGAAGGATCATTTTACTCACGAACCTGGTGCTTCTGCTGGGTGGCTGGTACACAGGGGCTGATCCGGCATTTCAGTCTCCATGTGGCCTCCCTGTGAGACCAACATGGGCTTTCTTACAGTATGGTGGTCTTAGGTATTGGCCTTCTTACATAGCAGCTGACTTCTCCCGGAGTATACAAGCAGAAGCTGCATTATTTCTTACTTTCCAAACCTGGAAATTTAAGGACATCACTTCTGCTGCCTTGATTGGTGAAAGCAATCACAAGGTCAGGTCCGATTCAAGGGGAGAGGAAACAAACACCTCTGCCTCTTGTGGAGGGAGAATCAAGGCCATTGCGAACGAGCCTGGGGGATGGGAGATACCATTGTGGAAATCTTTGGAAACACACTCCACTACCGACAATTAAACATGCACATTAGAAAGCGATTGTAGGAGAAGAAAGAAGAGTCGCCAAGGGGATGGAGTTTGTAAGACTGACAGATTACTTCCAGCTTGCAGGATGAAAGCCAGAGATCATGGAGGACCTGCTTGAATTGGCATTGGTGGGTAGGTAGAAGCAGACATTTGCATGTGAGAAGAAAGTAGCTTCAGGAGCACAGTGTAAGCAAAGGCCCAAGGTGGGAGGGTGGGGGGGGTGTGTGTGTGTTTTCACCAAAAGATCTAGCAAGAAGAGGGTTGAAGAGCTGTGGGGTGATCTATTTCTAAATGAAAGATCGTACATAGTGCAGAGGTGGCTGGTGCTACTGGCTTTCTTTGGTTCCTAGGGTACTACAAATAGGGTGGAGATGAAGACAAGTTCTCACCCTCTGGCTACACTGGCACGTGGGAACAGCCTTCTCTTGGAGGACGGTTGCCAGACAGAGGTATGTGGGCACCTACGCATTGCCATGGACCTCAAGATGAGAGTGGAGTGGGCCATTCTCACTGCTCCCACCCTGGAGCTGAGCCCCCTCCTGAGCCCTTGTTGCCGCGCCTGTGAGGCGGGCACAGCTGCGAATGGCAGCCGCGAGGTAATTGTGGGAAGAGTATGCTAATCAGCAGATGCCTGCGATTAACTTGCCTTTCCTGTTGCCTGTCAAACCCAAGCTGCCTTTGTTGGAAAAGATAATTAAATTGGAATCAGATGTCTGCAGTACATATTTTATTCAGAGCCTTAGATGACAATAGAGGAAGCTGACTTGCCGTCCACCTTCAGATTCCCACCTTCGTCCACGCTCAGGGCCTGAGCTTGGCGTCTACTCTGTGAGCTTCTTGTTGAACAATCAAGGGGCACCACTGGGTGCTTATGAGCTTATTAATGCTAGTATGTTGTCAAAATGCATCTTTGTTCCTGTGAGAGTGGATGAAACCTGTCTTGGAAAGTGTGGAATCCAGATCGACTGGGTACTCTAGCCAGCGTCGTCCCTGTGCGCTCCCCTCATGCACCCTGTTTGCCTCCTGTGTGATCTGAGGGGACCAAGGGCTCTGCTCCCCTCCCTCACTGAGGCTGTCCCCACGTGCCATCATGGTGCTCGAGCTCAGGGCCTGCACATGCTTTTCTGCCTCTTGTGGACGGCTCTGCCCTGCTCCGGCAGGTGACAGTCACGACGGTGACTTTGGCTCAGTGAATGCCCAGGAAGCTCGTTAGATTTCTTTTCTTCGTGTGATGCATTAGCTCTGATACATCTTATAGGATGGGAAAGTGAAGAGTGCTTAGGGGGCGAGAGGTTCTTTCTTTTGAGTACAAATGGTAGTTTTCATTAAGGACTTTATATGAGGAAGAGATTTGTAAGGAGAAACCAGTATGCCCTGTCCCACCTTCTTCCTCATACTCCAAGCCTCCCGTCATCCTCACAGTATCGTTGCTCTCCCTCCATGCCTGGGACCCTGGAAGGATGAGTAACTGGCCTAGCCTCTTGTTTGTTAGCAATGGAGAAAGGAAGCCAGAGCGTGAAACACGTGTGGGAGACCCGACCTAGGAGACACAGGACCAAGACATGGCTCCTTGTAATTAGTTATATCAAACTGCAAATCTTCTGCACAGCAAGGGAGACAACAGAGTGTAAAGGCAACCTGAAGAATAGAAGAAAATATTTGCAAACCATATACCTGACAAGCAGTTAATTTCCAAAATATCTAAGCAACTCCCAAGACTCAATAGCAAGAAAACAAATCATCTGGTTAAAATATGGGCATAGGACTTAAATAGCCATTTCTTAGTTTTGCCTCTCTCCACAGAGACTTTCTAAAAAAACTCAAAAAACAATAACAAAAAAACCCTTAGGGGAGGTGAATCTGCTGAAAAAGCAGGGAAACCTGGCCAGAAGCTGCCTTGGGGTGACATAGGGAGCTGTGATATCCGGCTGGCCTGGGACAGCACATGTGTGCACTGTGACACAGGGAAACTTCAGGAGGAGGGCCTGGGAGATGGCGCTCAGCACGGGGAGGCAGTTGTGCCTGAGGATGGTCTGGATAGGGCAGTTTGCCTGTGAGTGGGGAGGGTGATGGGAGTCACTGGTTTGCTACAGGTTACACGTTCTGCCTGTGAGGTCATGCAGGAGGGTGGAGAGCCATCCACGACCTACCAGTCAATGGGAAAAATACTGTCTCGGTAGTACTTTTGAATTGTTTGAATACTTGCTTAAGCTGAGCAAGGACCTTAACCTTAACCAAACTTTGGCGAGGCTCCTCTGAGCACGCTGCACCCCCACTTTTATTTATTTTTTTGAATGAACCTTATCCTTGGTCCTATCTTTGATCTGCCTAGCCCAGTGCTGACCAGAAATCCTGTGGTCAGTTTAACGAGAGTCCCTGTACCCTTGATGCCTAACTAAGTTTCTGGTATGAATTTTCCATCTGCTCCTTCCCTCTGTTCATTGTCCCCACCTGTCCCTGCTGTACGCAGAGTCGCTGAGTTCAAGCTCTCTCCCATTGACAATAGACTTAAATGAAGTCTTCCTCGCTATTTTAACAAGTGTCAGAATAACTTCTCTTTTACATGGCCTAGGACCTAACACGCCAGAAGCCCCACTGGTGTAATTCCATGCTCCCTGCAACCGCATTTGTCCGTTTCCCCTCTGCCCCCACACTTGCTCACCTCCAGGTGCAGTTGGAAGCCATGCTCCATTAAGTGGAGAAAGATTTGACCAGAACCTGAGTAGGGAAGATCTCTGTGTGCCTTTTTTTCCATCTTAGAGGCATCCGATTGTAACACAAGCTGGAAGGTTTTTATGGGGTGATTTCTTCTTCCTTGAACATGGTTCACTCTTCAATATCAAGCTCTGTGCGATCTCTTGAAATAATTAAAATAGAGTGGATGATTAGGTGATGTTGCTGCCTGCCAACCTTCTGAATGAGGACCTGGCATTCAGAAACTAGCTCAAATGTGTCACTCTTGGTATTTTTTCATTGAAATTCACCAACACTGTCTGAGTCCACCCTTCACATTTAATGTATTAAGACCCTATACATTGTAAGACACAATGAGTTATTGGATTAGAAATTGGGAACACATCACTTTGACTTGTAAGGACTCATGTCATACCCCAAATGGATGAGTTGACTCTCAGGGATTGTAATTAATGGGCTTCCTACCAACGGTACCTGCTAATGGACAAAGGGTCATTTAGCACAGACAAGAACTTTGTCCCAAGTATGTGTTTTATAAGGTAGTGGCTGAACGTCAAGTCAGAGGTAGGAAAATATTCTCTAATTTTCTATTCTGAAATTGATTTCCAGCATGAGAATGGCACACAGTACATACAGCATTCCCCTGCCACTGAACGCTCATGCCCAGCTGCATTTAGGTTCTGAGGGAGGCCTACTTTGAGGTTCAGGATGTGTAACAGCCCAATGTTGGAGTTACTGTTACTGTTAAAAAGTGAATCCACCCCAGCTTCCTGGAGACAGTTTGAGTTTATACCTTTGTCCCAGCGTTTTTATTGATAGTGCCTTGTTCACCCTCAAAGATACTCAGTTTTGGCTGATTTTTAGATCATAAGGCCACCCTAGTTCTAGCATGTTGATGAAGATGTGGTTTACTTCATTGTACAGAGTCCTTTTCATGAGGACTTTTCTCATTTTTCTTAATCAAGACCAAGGATGTCTGTACCACTTCTTATTAACAATTTTGTCATTATGTTGGAGACAAAGATCACATAACAGATCACAGTTCTGTTTTTACATTGAGTTTATGGGAAACTCAGAACTATCTCTAGTAATGCTACAGGTCTACCCTCTATAAATTTTTGTTTGTTTGTTTGTTTTCGAGATGGAGTTTCACTCTCGTTGCCCAGGCTGGAGTGCAATGGCACGATCTCAGCTCACCACAACCTCTGCCTCCCAGGTTCAAGCGATTCTCCTGCCTCAGTCTCCCGAGTAGCTGGGATTACAGGCATGCGCCACCATGCCCGGCTAATTTTGTATTTTTGGTAGAGTCTGGGTTTCTCCATGTTGGTTAGCCTGGTCTCAAACTCCCGACCTCAGGTGATCCACCCACCTCGGCCTCCCTATAGTGCTGGGATTACAGGCGTGGGCCACCACGTCTGGCTCCCTCTATGCATTTTTATATGATCTCAGTCTATTTGCTCCCAATTCTTGACTTTTTGCTTATAGCATTGTTCTTAATTTTTCAGACTCCTTTGAATCAATTCTGGACAAGACAATTATAAAACAATTATAAAGGCTAAATTTAACATTCATAGGCAAAAATGAACCTTAGCCTAAGTCTTGTACATTATCTAAAAACAAATTCAAAATGGAGCATAGACACAAATCTACACAACTTTTTTTATAACAGGGGAAAATGTTTGCAATTTAAGACTAGGCAAGAGTTCTTAGACTAGACACCAAAAGCAAGATCTATTTTTAAAAAATTTGTAAACTGGGCTTTATTAAATTTGAAAACTTTTTCTTTTCTACAACACACTCTTTGAAGAAAATGGAAAAACAAGCTACAGACCTGAAGAAAACATTTTCACACCACATATCTGACAAAGGACTCCTATGTAAAATATATAAAGAACTCTGAACTCAACAGAAAACAACAAGAATTGAATATGAAAATGGGAAAGAGACAAACATTTCATCGGGGAGTATATTCAAATGGCAAACAGCCTATGAAAGGTGTTCAGCATCGTTAGCCATTAGGAAAATGCAAACTAAAACCGCAGTGAAATATTGCCACACACTTAACAGAAGGGCTGTTAGAAAGAAGGAAAGTGCCGAATGCTGGTAAGGATGGCAGGAGGCAGCAACTGGATCTCTTACGTTTAGCTGATGGTGACGTGAAATAGCACAGCCTCTAAAGAAAACATTTGGGCAGTTTCTTCAAAAACCAAACCTGTAGCTACCATGACACTCAGCAATTACACTCCTGAGCATTTACGCATGTGGAATGAAAACATGTTCTATATAAAAACCTGTGCCCCAATGTTTACAGCAGCTTTATTTGTAGCAGTCAAATAAAATGAAACAGCTCAGATGTCCTTCAACAGGTGAACGGTTCAACAAACTGGTACATCCCTGCCATGGAATTGCTACTCTGCAGTAAGAAAGAATAAGCTATTGCTATGCTGAAAAGCCTATAGCTGAATCTCTAGAAAAGTATGCAGAGCAAGAAAGGCCAATCCCAAAAGGATACATATCATATGTTATATATGTATAATATTCTTGAAAAAGTACAGAAATTGCGACGACATGAGTATTTGCCAGGAGTTAAGGAGAGGTATAGGTGAGGGGAAAGTGTTGGTTGCAGGTAAAAGTCACCATGAAGGAACCTTGTGGTGACAGAAATATTCTGTATCTTGGCCGTATTGATGCCAGTATTCTGGTCAGGATATTGCACTGTAGTTTTGAGGAACTGTCATGCTTTGCTTCACAGCAGCAGCACTATTTTTCACTCTCACTAGCAGTGCACAAATGTCCCAATATCTCCGCATCCTCACCAACATCTGTCTTTGTTTGTTGTGATAACTGGCATCCTAATGGGTATGAAGTGGTTGTAGTGTAGCTTTGCAAAATGCTACCACCATTGTGGGGCACTGGGGAAGTGGTACACAGGATCTCTCTGTATTACTTCTTAACAAGTTCATGTGAGTTTACAACGATCTCAAAATCAGAAATTAATAAAAAAGTGATATGCTTATTGCCAAAATTAGACAGTCATGAAAACTGTAAAGATGAAAATAAAAATCACCCTTCATCCCACTACTAAGAGGAGGCAGCATTTGGTGGCTTTGGAGGTAAAAATCTTTGGTGTCATTTTTTAACCTCACCATGGTTTAACTTTGTTGGCCTCTGTTTTCTTATCAATAAAATGGGAATGATACTAGTGTAAAGAATTGTTAAGGGGTCTAACAATTTACCATAGTTGCAAACTAACAGATTAGTCTGCTGCAGTTTCACGAATGCTAGGAAGAAGACCCATGATTCCTGGGCCAGAGTGTAGCAGGACCCACAGCAGCAGGAGTCACTCAGTTCTCTAAGCCCCTCTTTCCCCCGGGAACCACAGGAGGGCAAGGCAGTGACTCTACCCTCAGTGTTGGAGTTACAGTAGAGTAGCTTAGGGAACTCAAAACATTGATATCAGGCAGTAAGCTTGCATGACCTTCGCCTGGAGGTATTTTTATTATATTGGACAATAAACCCAATTGCCCTATCTCTGTCTTACAATGCTAAACTTCCCTTGAAAGGACGGATCATTCCCAACAAAGAAAGTTGGTCCCTCTGATTGAAAACAATGCCAAAATTCAATAGACACGTGGGAAATGGTCCACCAGCCATTCCATATGTCAAGATATTTCTGTGAGTTTGTTTCTTCAGAGGGAGGAAAGAGTAAAGGCTTCACAGGTAAAGGCTTACACAGTGCCTGGAACATGGTGACTCCTGAATAAAATTTAGTTTCCATCTTTCAAAAAAATTTTACAATCACAGACAGCTCTTCTAGTCGCTGGTCATGTCATATATCTTTCCACCTACACTTTCCATCAAATTTCTATGAGTTCTGGCCTACGTCTAAAATACCAGTGTCTTTAACCACGTTTCCTTTCTTTGTCTCCTTGTTCTTCAAGAAATCAAGAAGTTCCAGAAAATAGCTACAGAGGATGGTAGGAAGCTGCCAGCTTCATCTCCCAGGATAAAGTTGATGAAATTATCTGTGATTCTAACAGCTTTTCAGACTGTGAAAGATTCAATTCCATCTACTTGGGCCAGTAATAGCTTTTAAAACTCTCTATTCCTGAGTTGCTTCCTAGTTTATTTTTGTCCTAAATCTTATTTTAGAAGTATAGATTTAAGTGTTTTTTAAACGTGGAATGAATAGAGAGGTGGGACTTGTTCATGACAATTCAAAGTAGAAGGTTTGGTAGGAAATGAGTTTGAAGCGAAAACTTACCTTTCATTCTGTTGCATTTCAATGTTGCATTATGGCCAGGGGACCACAAAGGAAAGACTGGAGGATGTTACTAAAAACTTTCAGTCATAACAAATATTCTTCTCCCACTTCAGTCTTTTCAACTCTGCATAAGCCGAGACTTAGGACATCGGACAGGAAACTACCAGGATCTCAGTTCTTAGAAAAGTCTAGTGAAGATTTTTAAAATTTCTGTGCAAATGAGTGGTCTCTGATATTCTTAGTGATTCTTCCAACTTAAGGTCTAGGCCAAACAGAAGGTGAAATAATCTTCTTCACTTTCTATTGAGACAGAACACTCCAGAACCCAATGTAGTTTCTCATTTACATTTTCCCTTTAGAAAACATTGTTCCTTTAGAGTTAACAGACGCATGACACCGCATGTTTCTGTAAGCTCTAAAGGGACAATATTTTCAGGTGGTTATAATTTTCTTGTGATAGAACTAGTAGAGATATGGAAGGAATGCCTATTGTTTTGGAACCAAGAAATTTTAGAGGCCACCTCCATTAGTAGTTAGTTCAAAAGAGACTTTTTAAAAGCCCTCTACTGAACTTTCGGCATAAAACTGCATGAGCTGCCGGAGGAGAAACAAACAGCCACAGTCTCTACATTTTAGTATCAGGAAACGTGGAATTTGCTCAGATGGACAAGGTGAGCTAGGGAGACAAAGGAAGGTTGCAGGCAAGGGGTGCTCCAGAGGTGGAGAGATACCAGGGGAATTAAAATCACCCTAAATCCAAAAATACATAAAAAAGAAACTGGACAGATCAGAGCCGACTGCAGGAAAGAAGTTCCAACGTACCCACCATTTAACGGACCAGACTCTTGATTAAAAGAGATAGACTCCGTTTAATGGAGCATGCATGATTTAAGAGATGG